CTTTGGAAACACATCCAACGTTTGTGCCAATGTTTGCTGAATATTATCGCAGTCGACAACTTGGTTCATACTCAGTAATGTAATCAGCAAACTCATATCTAGAAAATCTGTTTAAACTGTTAATCTATCCAGTTTGCATAGCAAGTCTATACGCGAATCACGACGGAGATTTAATTATTCATTCAATTTGGCAAGATAATAGCTTTATTGTTAGCAACAATAGAATGTAGCCAAATGAGGTCGCACAGTTTCCATACATTTCGTCCATTGTTCGGTTTGTTGGCCGACTCGTGAAATGTTTTATCACAAATTTCGTATTTTCGGCAACGAACGAAACATTGGGCGATCTCCATACACAATGCGGGATCTCTAATTTATTTGCTCGAAATAAACGTGTAACGAGCTCCATTGTATTTGCAAAATTGAAGCTAACTTTAACTTCGAGCCGAGGATGGGTATTGTCATTTCTTGCATTCGTTTTTATTAATGCCTTTGTTGGTATTAATCGTGTATCAATGTTGGATGGATTTTCTCTCTCTGCTCTAGCTCCGATGATGTGGGGTGTAGGTACCAAGGTAGGTGAAGAAGTCCACCAAATAGTACTCGTCATTAAAAGTCGTTAAATAAGACCTTCTCCATTTCCATTTATAATAACTATGCCAATGTTGAAGACAATCTTCGTAAGAAACTGTCACATTAAGCCCATTACAGCAAATGAAATTCGATCCAAAAGTCGACAATTCAATTGCGCGGGAATTGCTCAATGACAGCTCGTAAGCTGTCAAAAATTCAGACCACAGATAATCTTCAATCAGGTCGTCGATAAAGCGATCCGTTTCGGCGCAGAGGTTCATAACTGACCAAAAAGAATGAGAATATGGGAACGGGTCAGAACGTTCTATTCCTCATAAATGTTTACCGCCCGCCCACCGTATCTTAGTTTTATTGGTCGTACGAACGCTCGCTGGCCGCTTTATTTCCTCTCTTGTGGCAAAACGACTCGTTATCCGCAATAGAAAGAGTAAACTGCTTTCATTATGATTGATCGGATTTTGTTATTTTGCTCTTAACTACACACGAATGGATTTGTTGCATGATGAAAACTGTATCGTGCTTTTATGATGGTTTTCTTTAAGAGGATTGACTAAGTTAAGTAGGTACTTAGTAGATACTAGATACTCTGTCTAACTTTCGAATATAAAATTGAAGCTTCTAATGGTAGTTTTAATTAAATCGGCACTGATAATATTGTTAAATAGTATTTTGAACGAATAATAAACATTATTGGCTAGAACAAATAATAATCGTATCCAACCACTTATAAACACTGACAGAAATCGAATGAAATAACAAGAAGTTTTGAAACTTTTCATCTTGAACAATGGCGCTGGAACTAAAAGTTTGATTAAAATTGTATCGAGTCTTGACACAAACACTTAGTGGATCAATAAAGGAAATTCAATTCAGTATCTGCTCTTGTGGGAGATGAAAAACAACTCGGAAACAAGCTAATTGAAGCGCTTCTGTTACTTGCAGCTGATTAAAAATGTTCAGTGTTTGTTCTCATACTTTGCTAAACCGCGCGACGGGACCAACATAATTAAATGTGGATTATCTGCCGCCCGAACAGCCAGCGAATCGTGAACGAGGATTAGCGATAGCAGACTCCACAGTTAAAATCATAAAAACACAAATTTACATTAGTAGTACCTCATTCCAAACTCTGGCGTTAATGCCTCTGGCGTTTGTGTTGCAATAACGACGGAATCTTGATTGAGATATTAAGCAAATCGTAATAGTCTGGGAATAATTGGAACCAATCTGTTTTGTAATTTCGTGAGGATATCCTTCGGTTTGAGTGGGTACTTCCTTTTTTCTAAAGAACAATTAATCTCGAGACGTACAAAGCAGGAAGAGGGTCGGTTTTAAAGAGCTCCTCGCTTGCTTGAGAGCTATCGCCGCCGTTTGCTTCGGTATTCAAAGAGTTGTCTGCAAAATTGCATCTTTCCGGATTTTTTACTCAGAGATTTCTTTATCTGAAGAAATAATGGATAGCAACTGTTGAGGAATGTTTACATTGTCCGGGAGATGGTGTGATTCCTCCCTAGTGATTTGTTAAGTGCCTACCGTAAGCATTGATCGTTTTTAATTAAAATTCCTCTGCTAAGGTCACTGTTTTGTTCAGCGCTACTGCCTTAAATTATTCCCGGCAGTGTTTAGTGAATAACACTCGTTCAGAAGTAACTGCTAACTGCTGTACTTAGTTATAGTTACGACCTATTCCGAGTTCCCAGTATTAATTTAATAACAGACATTCAAATTGCTAGTAATTAGGTCTGCTATGAATACTTCATTATGTTAGCATTTACTTACATCTAGTTTAAACAAACAGTTGTATAATTATGTTCTAGGTAATGAAGAATGAATTCGATGAACTGAATATTGACCTATCCTAATAAAACCATACACTGGTAGAGTTACAGTGTAGCAACCTAAAGATCACGAATAAAGCAATTAAAATTTCTTTATAACTTAGAGAAAGAAAAGAAAAAGCGTAATTTACTGATTTGTTACGTGTCGTAGAATGCTGCTCATGAATATGACCCTGTAACATGGCTTGATACTAATCGAGCTCTTCGTTAAACAGTTACGTGAGTAAGCCGAAAATATATTAATTAGTTTCCGAATTACTTCAGTTTTTGAACTTTCAGTAGTATTTTGGTTCAATTTTAATAGATAAATAAGACACAAATTAGTTTACAAGTTACACTGAAACTCTTTTCAAGACTCACCTTGGAAGGCGGCTTCGAACTGCGCGGGATCTTGCGTGGAGGCGCGCGAGGTGGCCGTCACCAACAGCGCGGCGAACAGCGCGGCCAGCGGCGCCACCCGCGGCGCAACCATCTCGCCACTACGCCATGCCATCTCCGCCCATACCTACACCAACTACACGCCTGCCCTGTGGACAATACAAAACAATAAATTAAAAAAAAAACACATAAAACAATTGCGTGCTGGAAAACAGTCACATCAATGTTAAACTTAAAGGTGGTTATTGGCAAGAGTCAGTAAGTACAACTATTTATGGTACAACTACATATACAACTACATATATGTACTTATACTCGGTGCCATGAGACGGGCCAGAGGTTTTTTGTTTACCAGTGGTTGTCTTCTGACTTCTGATAAAAACAAGTAGGTAAAATCTTACGTAAATAGACTCGATTGTTTCGAATTGTGGGTAGTACAAACTCATTGAAATTACCTTTTACTTCAGCATAAGCATCTAATGTTGTAAAAAAACTAGTTCAGTCTATGTATTAAAGTACCGTTTAAAATTATTTTTCTAAAATAGAAAGAGCATAAAGATGTGGTATGTGGTACAGCACTTGTACCTACAACATCGTAAAATTATCCTAGTATTGGAACTGTCGCAAAAAATCTATCTACGAAGATAGACTAGGTAAAACGTGTTCAGTAGGTACTTGAATAACAATTCACGGATACGCAAAAACTGTATTATGGAGTTTCTTGCTCGTTCTTCTCCATTCGAATCTACTTTTTGGAATGAGCACCTAGCTTCACCTAGTTTCACTGACGGACTGACTGACAGACTATTATTTATTTTGTATTTGTTGACGTTTCAAAAGTACCAAACTATGGTTTAATTGAAATAAATGCTTTGACTTTGACTGTACTTACGCCACTCGGGATAATAAACACATTAGCATATTAAACATAATTAAATTCAGTGCTCTCTACTTAACTCACTAGGGATGAAGCCGGCAGACATATCGTATTTAATAGAATAACTTTAATTCAACTTCACCTCAGTTTATCCCACAGGAATAAACGGAAAACAACTAATAATACAAATATGTTGATCCGTTAGTTTACGCTCAGGCCGCTCCAGGCTTAGCTAAGGCAAAGTGCTGGATAATCTGTGGTTGGTGGTTCGCTCGGGTTTTATAAAGCTCACCATACATACTCCGATTCAGTGGATATTTCATGATTGAATGCATTTGAATATGCATTCCGCTTCATTAAAATTAATTTACACTTTTCAGAGTAGGCATCTATTTATTTATACTCTAAAAGTTCGGTTCAATTATTTAATTCACCTAATTATACGTAACGTTGTCGTACTTATCCTAAGAAGTACTTATACACCTTTGCTTATTATTATTTAATATTTATGTTACCTATGTTAAGACTTCGTCACTTGAAATAAATCGCTGTCTGGTACATTCGAGCAGATCATTAATCAATCACAACATAACTGAAAATATCGCCGTTGGAGTTTCCTTCCCCTAACTCCAGGAATCAGAATTTTGCAATTCCCATTTAAAGTTTTGGATTGGATTACTTATCTTCACTCAAACGTACAGTTCGATCGTAAATGTAAATGGTTAAGTGCCCTAAAATTAAATACTAGGCATTAAGGTTAAAAGGTTTTCAACATACATATTTAAGCTGGCATAAAAGGTGAATTATGAAATGCTATTTTAAAATTACTGAGGAACTAAGGTGAATGAATATTTGTTATTTAATAAGGATTCAGTAGAAATTATTATAAGTTGGTTCTAAAACATAAAATTGAGGATTGTTTAATTTGAATCGTATTGGATTTGTCGACCGTAATTAATTTATGATTTTTAATCCAAGAAATAAACTGGCAACCCTGAGATACGCAGTACGAATAAAAAGAAATGTCTACATTCTTGTTTCGATGTACAACAAAACGAGGATTTTTAATTTGGTCGACTAACTCGTTCACTTACCGTAAACTGTCAAAAATGTAAACACAAACGTGACAAAAGTCAAAACAAAACAATCGATCATGTCATTCATTTCTGTGAAATTCTCTGTGAGCCGGCGGTGTGTGGCAGTTTTAAATGTCAGGAAATATTTGTGTAAAATCGGTGATTAAAATTGTATTCATATGATAAATAAATAATATAAACGGACGCGGTGAATGATAAAATAGGAGATTCCGTAAAATGTACGATATTCGATGTGCATTCTGTTTATTGTTTTTAATATTTTCATTGGATAAAGTGGACCTATTGGAAAATGGTTTGGCTCGCACGCCTCCCATGGGGTGGATGTCATGGGGATATTATATGTGTGGAGTTAAATGTGAGGATGGCGAGGAAAAATGTTTAAAGTAAGCATTCCATATTCATACCAATTTCCAAAGAGAATAGCTCTGAGATTCAGTCTCATTTGTTTACGTGTTTACAAATTCATATAGGTATGTTGCACAGGCAATAAACAAGCAATAAACGTGTATGTTCCGTAATAAAGCACTACGATAATGTCGATTGTAGAACTTTATTTTTGAATCAAGTACTGCTTTATTTGAAATATACATACATTTGATTTCGAGAAATACTCAAAACAAATACCTAAGTATATCTATCTAATACTACCTTAAATAGTTGCTACTCATATTCTTATTGATTGATATTTTTTTTTAATTACAGTGAACAGCTAGTATTGTCAGTAGCGGACAGTTTTTACAAAGATGGCTACCAGGAAGCAGGGTTTGAGTACATCATAATTGATGACTGCTGGTCTGAAAAGCACCGGGATGGGAATGGAAGGCTTGTAGCTGACAGAAAGAGGTTTCCACGAGGAATGAAGTTTATTGCTGATTATGTATGTATAATTTAACATTTCCACTGTTGAACTATGGGTCTCCTGTACAAAAACAGGTGTGATTTGCTATAATTTTCACGCTTGGTACGTAAGTTGATAAATGGCAGTTTAAATAGATAGTTTTTCCGAAAGTGCTGCTACCTAGTTGTATGTCAAATGTGTCGTCTCTGTTGGTTGTCTCAGACAACAACTGCAACTAGGTTCTTATGTCACCCACCTAAAGAAAATTAAACACAAACTGTAACCTAACCGGTTTGTGGTGCATTCAACATGTTGACCACATGGCTAAGCGATACAGTAATATAGTAAGCCTGACTAACTAATCCTTCAGAGAATAATTTTTAAAGAGTATTTTTTATCAATATTTCAGATCCATGCTCGAGGTTTAAAGTTTGGCATGTACACTAATGTAGCAAATATCACATGTATGAGATACCCAGGCTCTCTGAGTCACATGGAGCTGGACGCTAAGACATTTGCAGAGTGGGGAGTAGACTACTTAAAAGTGGATGGATGCTTTGTATCTGAAAACATTCTGAATGAAGGTGAGTTCGTAATTCTTAAGGTAATGAAAAGCGAGCAAAGAGGCCATAGCATTTTTTCTTTTTCATTGATGAATATTTTTTGATACAAGTATTTTATTAATTGGTAATGTGTGTCATATAAAAGGCAATTTAGTTACTCTTAAAATGAGAGCATTTTGTTCTAAAAGGAACATTATTCTTTGAAGTTATAGAGTGATTGATAAAATGAAAAAAAAAATACTGTTGGCTCCGTTTCTTAGCTCCCCAGTGTTTTATTGCCATGCTTATTTTTAAACATTGCCTCGACATATTAAATAGTTATAACCATAATGTTTGTAAGTGATTATCAACATACTGGAGAGTTAACCTTGAGAGAATATTTTACTGTAGGTACTTATAAATATGTATGTACTTGAGTACTGAATAATTTTTATCTAGGCGAGTGGTCACATCCTCAGAATAATCAGAATTCTGAATAATTGTAGGGAGTGCCATAATGTATCAGTGCATAGATATGTTGCACCTGTCACAGAGCTAGGTAATAATTACATGTCTAGGAAATATGAAGAACTGGAGTATTTATTGAAGGAATTTCTCTAGAACTTAATGTTTACTGTCATGTACACTGGGCAGCTAGTCGACCTATGCTTTTCTGTCAAATTTCTTTATTCGATTTTTAACTCTATTTTGTTTAGGTCGAAAATACAATGACGAAAATAGACAAATTGCAGTGCAGTAGGTTGATGTGCTGGACTGGACACTGTACTATTTACATGCGTAAAATATAATGCTGCTATATGCCTGAGTCCATATATCCAGTGTGTACTGGATATATGGACTCAGGCATATAACAGCATTATAGACCTTATTTCCGAAGTTTAGAGACTTCTTTTATGTGAACAAGTTTGGTTATTAAATATGAACATAAATAAATTGCGGGTTACTCACGTGACTGCTAGGTAGGCTTCGTGACATCGCCGCGACTCTGCACGCTGCTCATGAGGAAGAACCCCTCTGGTTCGAAATTAGTAGAGCTTTTCTCAGTATTTTTACGTGAGTAACCCGAAATTTTTAGTTAATTAATGTTATCTCTCATGAATGCTTTGTTGATTTAGTTGTAAATACCGACGTTTAGCCAAATCTGTCATTTAAAGACTCGGTGGCCACCCAAAAACTGGTTTTGAAAAGGCTAATAGAAAGAATATGTCAAACTAGTTTATACCAGCGGCTTCACCCGCGATCCCGAGAAATAAAATGTAGCCTATATGTTACTTCATATTATAATCTACCCCTGTTCCAAATTTTATCCCGATCCCTTTAGCCGTGGAGTGAAGGAGTTACAAATAAACATACAAATTTCGTATTTATATTATTAGTAGGATTAAAGATTTCATCGTATTCAAGAGTCAAGACTTTTTTTAACTATACCTATAACTTTCATGAGACATACTAAATTAATTAATTGTAATGTTTTCAACATAATAATTACTCAAGGCTATTGTTTTTTCTCATCATATTAGACCAAAGTGCTTTTGTTAGATCATTCTTTGTGTGTTACACTTTGATGTCATGAAATATGTAAATAGTTAAACGATGCATGATCCAATATCAATGTTTTACTATAAAACTTTTATTGTAGTGGCCTAAATAATTTCGAGGACTGCTGATAAACATTATTACACTATCGAGTTTGTTGCTAGGTATAGGTACTAGAATTAATGCATTTTTTTCTGCGTAGTTTCCGTGAAATTAGTAATTATCGATGTCACAGGTACACATGGCCACACATCAATCTATACAAAACCAGTTTATCCTAGTGTCGCGTCGCATCATTTTTCCGCACATTTAACGTTCAGTTTATACTGGTTATGTATAGCTCGATGTGGAGCCGTGTGTACTAATAGACTGGGTCAATCAATTTACGAAGGTGAAATTAAAACTAGATGCTGTTAACAGTTAGTCGATCATGATCAAAAGTAGGAACTTTATTTGTTAGGTTACCTAAACAAATTTCCTGGTAGATATCTCTCTCTGCGATAGGGCTTGATATCTTATTCTATAATCTGAAAAACAATCGCTAAATGTGTTGTAAAACGCAAATTTCGAGAACAGGTGAACTTATTTCGCTAATTCTTTTTTGTTGGGGTTTGTTATTGACAGGAGAAGGTTTTTATGTAAGAACAAATTAACAAAGATGTGCAGAATTTTTTTCAAGGCGAAACAAAGTTCGCTCCACTGGTTGCACATAATCGTAACAATGATTGTTATTCACTTTACGCCAGGTATTCAATTTTGAGTCTTAACTGTAAAACGACTGCATGGTCGGTGCGGTGGCCGGACAAGCGGATGCTGTGCAACGTGTCGCGGGTTTAATTCCAGCACGTAACAACTATTTGTGTGATCCACAAATTGTTGTTCCGGGTCTGGATGTCATGTGTACGTAAATTTTTAAGTTTTTAAACGCACCCACGAAACAGGAGAAAAACCTAGTGTGGGACAAGGGATTAAAAAAAGTAACCAATATGAATCGACATAAATTTTGACAGCTGATTAATTTCATTTTCCAGCTTACATAAAACTGGGTAAATATTTGAAGAAGACTGGAAGGCCTATGGTGTACTCGTGCAGTTGGCCGTACTACATACAATATATTCATGAGAAACAAGTAAATATAGTTTTTACAACCTACCTACTTGTATCACATTTGCTAAATACCGGTGAGGCTATTTTGGTGTTAAGTTGCAAACGTTAAGCGAAAACTGACAAAAACACTTTCGCAATTTTCACCCGGACGACTGAAACATACAGTGAAAGAAAACATCATATGGAATAATTTCTAATTACAAGTAATACATAAAAATATTTTTATGTTCAACGGTTTTATAATGTGTAGGGTCGGCAAGAAGGGGGTAAAATTTCAATTACTGAATTTGACCGAAACAAACAAACGAGGCAAGCTTAAAAACCCCTTTTAATAGGTTTGAGATCGCCAATCTGCCTGGAGCAAGCGTGATGACTAATACTCATACCTTTTCAGTGAGAGAAGAGGCCTTTACTCAGCAGTGTGCACTTATAGAGTGTTATCTACTGAGTAGTGTGCCAAACTGACTTTTGGACTTGAAGGTTAATACTGTTTCAGCCGGATTACAAAGAGATAGCTCAGTACTGCAACCTGTGGCGTAACTACCACGACGTACAAACGTCCTGGGAAGCCGTCGCGAACATCGTACGACACTACCGGAGCAATTATTACGAGCTCGCGCCATCACACGGTCCAGGACATTGGAACGATCCTGATATGGTATTTGCAGCTTTATTGTTAATTGTTAAGATTGTTTTTTTTATGTGATAAGCCGGTAAACGAGCGGACGGATCAACTGATGTTAAGCAGCCGGTGCCCATGGACACCTGGAACACCTGAGTGCAAGTGCGTTACCGTCCTTTTAGGATTAGGAATTTGAGAATTTTTGGGGATTCAGGGATTTTAAGTTACAATAATCTGTTGCTTAATAAAGTACGTATTATTTTTTCTACTTTCAGTTAATATTTGGTACGGGCGTGTTAACACACAGTCAGAGTCGCATACAACTGACTGTATTCGTAATGATGTCCGCTCCACTACTGCTCAGCTGTGATATGAAGAAAATCACCCCTTATGAGAAGTCACTGCTACAGAATATGGACCTTATGGCCATTGCACAAGACCCATTGGGTATTATGGCTAAACCTCACCATGTAAGTTTATTATTATTACTTTATTTATTTTCAAGTTAAGTATGGGTTAGGTGGCAAACGTATGATCACTTGATAGAAAGCGATTGATGCCGCCCATGGACACTTCAGAAGAGTTTCGGAGCTGCGGACGACCTAACGGGTTACCGGGGCTCCGGCTCCGATTCAACCTAGGTGGGAGAAGTCATTGGATGATTTCCCCTCAGAAAATCCAAGAAGAGAGTTATGTGATGCTAAATGGCATTACGCTCTGTTCTTGAAGAAGGTTTACCCATCACCAAAGAGGTTCTAATTTTTTCGTCGAATTATAAAATATGTTTTTATGTATTTCAGATGAGATACGTAAGTAATTAGTGGTCATGTTTTAACATGACCTCTAGTGGCTCTATTCTATTTAAGGGTTTCCATGGGATTTGGTTATTATTTAATTTTCTTGAGTGCAATGGGTTGGGTACAGAGTGCCAAGCACGAATAACTATCGCATTCCTATCGTAACAGTATCGAGCGAGTTAAGCGTTTTGATTGGTTGGTTCACTTGAGCCGGCCAATCAGAGCGCCGAACGCGCTTGATACTATTTCGTTACGAATGCGATAGTTATTCGTGCTTGGCACTCTGTTAAAGAGTTTACTAGGTTTGGAGATATTATCTCTTTTCTGTAATTGTGTGCATCTTAACATTAAACAAATCTGTCGACTTTATTTAGCTGACAATTTCTTTGTTCCATGAAACCACGGGCTAGAACAGTTTGCGTTACCATATTATGGCACTCAACTAAATATCGAAATTGAATTCGTATTGATTTCTTCCCTTTTTCAAACTCGACAAGAAACACCGCGTACTTGTATAGTATCGTAGTATAGAATGCTATGCTATCAGATCGTATCTAGTTGATAATAAATCGCAGCTGGTGAGCGCGGACAAGGAATAAATTGTATTTACAGCGCTGCAGCTGGTACAGAACGATACTATTTATCTAAGTTCGCGGATTGCGGGGCATACCTCCAATTGTAGCATTACCTACGTACTTACGTATATGTTTTAACTACCTTTTACCTGCGGCTTCGCTCGCGTCACAAAAGGATAAAAAGTAGCCTATGTGACATATAACAATACATACAGCGCCATCTATACTAATACTTTTGTTTTCCCTCGGGAATATCAAATTTTTCCGGGATAAAAAGTACCCTATTATTTAATCTAGACTTCTAACTTTACATCTGCAAAAATTCAAAGCAATCGGTTTAGTAGTTACGGCGTGAAAGTGGAACAAACTCACTTTCCGATTGATAATATTAATAAGGATTTAATAACCAAACTTGTTCATATAAAAGTAGTCTCTAAACTTCGGAAATAAGGTCTATAATGAAGTATGTAAGAGTAGATATTCATATTCCGGTGTGTGGTGTCCTCTCAGGCATATGGCAGCATTTTAGTAGTTACGGCGTGAAATCGGAACAAACAAACTCACTTTCCGATTTATAATATTATTATATATTATATTATATAGTAAGGATTACTAATGTATCTTATATCAAGTTTCTTAACTCGTCGAGTACCGGTTTTATAGACACAATTAAAGAACAATAGGTCGCGGTCACCGGTGACCGCTTGGTGTTTGACAGTTTAAAATAGCTAAGGAGTGGAATTCTTTGCCAGTCTGTGGTTTGTAAAGGTGTCATTTTGTGTGTGTTTCAAGGCCCGAGTGAATAAGGCCAAACGACCGGCCTACAACCATTAACAGACTGAGAACCTTAAACAGTTTTATTTATCTTGCCCCGTTTGTTTGTTTGGGTCTTTACTAATTGGGATTTTACCCCCTTCCTGACGATAGGTCGATCTGATATTTGGTACATACTATACTATAATCTTAATATATATAAATCTCGTGTCACAATGTTTGTTCTCAATGGACTCCTAAACCACTTAACCGATTATAATAAAGTTCGCACACCATGTGTAGTTCGATCCAACTTGAGCGATAGGATAGTTTAAATCTCAAATTATAGTCGCAATTTTAATTAATTGCATAGTTTAAATCTCAAATTATAGTTGCAATTTTAATTAATTGCATAGTTTAAATCTCAAATTATAGTTGCAATTTTAATTAATTGCATAGTTTAAATCTCAAATTATAGTTGCAATTTTAATTAATTGCATAGTTTAAATCTCAAATTATAGTTGCAATTTTAATTAATTGCATAGTTTAAATCTCAAATTATAGTCGCAATTTTAATTAATTGCTAATTATTTGTCTGTTATTATTTCACAGTCACAATTATCTGTTAACTCCAAATGATTCTAACAGATGTCGATACCAACTTACTCAACCCAGTCGAAAGACTGGGTTGAGTAAGTAATCAATAGATGGCGCTGCTATGGGTTTTTTTTTAATAGGAAGAATGATTCTTAAGTAAGGTTTATATGTATAATGCATGCATATTGCACCCGAGCGAAGCCAGGGGCGGGTCGCTAGTCTATTATATTTCGCAACTACCTCCATTATTGGTATCAAACGAAAAGACTTTATTGGCAGAATATAGCTCATTAAAACAGTAACCGTACTTGTTTTTAAGTCGAGTTATTTGTTATTCGTAATATGGAAACTACTGAACAATTTTCTTCTTTCTGTCGTCATTTAACCTTTAAATGTCCCCTAGGTAGCAGATTGCACGCTCTGGATAAAGCCTCACCTGCCTCGCAAGGGGGATCAGTTCCCGTCGTACAGCCTCGCCGTCATGAACCTGGACTCAGACGCCAGCCACGTGTCCTTCAGACTGAATACATATAACCTCAATGCTACTGATGGATATACTATATTGGTAAGATTTTTGTTTATATATCTTGATATCTTATAAATAACTCGAGCAGCCATAACCTGGGTATCTTCAAGGCCCTAGTGAATAGGTTGCTTATGGGACGACGTGCTCCATCGTAGACCACATCATTTACCATCAGGCAAGATACTGGCCAAACGTCGGCACATCAAGTCTAAAGAAAATTAAGATTAATAAAAAACTTAACTCCAATCTGCAAGCTGCTTGGCAATGTGGCTCATTGCAAACCTTCCCAGAAAAGGTGTCCCGCTTTATTAAGCAGCGTCTTTTAACTTGCTATAATGGCATAGTACTCTTAAACAGGAAATTTTAGTTCATTTAAAAGTAAATAAGTTGAACTAAATTAATTTGACTGCACGGTTGGTGCGGTGGCTGGGCAACCGGCTGCCGTGCAACGTATCGCGGGTTCGATTCCCGCACGGTACAACACTTTGTGTGATCTACAAATTGTTGTTTCTGGTCTGGGTGTCATGTGTATGTGAACTTCAGAACTTGTATGTTTGTAAACACACCCACGACACAGGAAAAATGCAAGTGTTGGGCAACGTCAAATTAAAAAAAAATGGCATAGTACTCTTAACTCGTCGAGTACCGGTTTTATAGACACAATTAAAGAACAATAGGTCGCGGTCACCGGTGACCGCTTGGTGTTTGACAGATTAAACAGGACATTTTGGTATATTTAAAAGTAAATAAGTTTAACTAAATTAATGAATTCTAGTAATGTTATAAATTTGTAAGTTTGTTTGTTACTACTTCATATCAAAACTGCTGAAGGGATCGGGATGGAATTAAAAACAGGGGTAGATTACGGTCTGGAATAAAACATAGGCTACTTTTTATCCCACGGAAACGCGGACAAAGCCGCGGGTAAAATCTAGTATCCTAATAAAAAGATACGAGCAACAAAAACTTTCATATAGTCTAGCTATGTTACTGATGAATCTTAAAACTAAACATTAAAGCTATTTAAAGTATATTTTGGGACATAAATCGACACTTTTTTTTTTTTTTTTTTAAGGGGGGAAAATCATCGAATGACTGCCCCCGCCTGGGTGAGGCGGGAGGGAGTGTCAGACTCTTACTGACTAAAAACCACCCCGTTCCTTCTCCTGCACGTCGAGCCGGAGCCCCGGTTACCCGTTAGGTTCTCCGCGACTCCGAATCGGCATCGGCCCTATTGGGCCCCATCTGTGGTGGTCTGATGGCTCTTTGAGGCGCGCGCGGAACGCGACGCGCCGTACGCTCGGGTCTGTTTCTGGTCGGACGGGGAGCCACCCATGCTCGCCGTCCGCAGGCCCGCGCTTACGGTGGCCGGAGATCGTCCCGCGATCCCCGACGCCCGGTGTGTCCTTCGCGATGGCTGGGTTGCGAGGAGGCAGCGCTTCGCTGCCTCACGCGTCCCGCCTCCTCCTTAGCTAGCATGACTGCTTCGCAAAAGGAGGAGACGGCATCCCAATCCCCCTCGCTCCGCATCATGGCCTGCACTAGGCCCGGACGCGAGAGGTCGCCATCGCCGATCACTTCCCTGAGGACACGGCGGTGCTCAGCCCACGAAGGGCATTCTCCCACCGTGTGTTCCACCGTGTCCTCAGGGCGGTCCTCGCAGTGATGACACCCGGGCGTTTCCTCCCGCCCCATCAGACACAGGTACCTCCCGAAACTGCCATGTCCGGTGAGGACCTGCGTCAGGCGGTAGGTGAGGACGCCGTAGCGTCTCTCAAGCCACTCCTCAAAGAGGGGACTTACCGCTGCGATGGCAGCGAGCCCAGTCCTCGGTTGCGACAGTCGTTGCTGCCATTCCGCCATGAGATCGCGCCGGAGCTCATCCCGCCACGCACTTATCTGGCGCGGCAGCGGAGTTTCGCCCCGGCGACGTGCCTCCGCGCGCATGCTGTGCACGCGCGCGAGCACCTTCGCCTCCAGATCCCACGGCGGTAATCCGGCAAGGAGGTTCGCCGACTCCCCAGAGATCGTGCGGTATCCGCGGATCATTCGGATCGCCATGACCCTCTGTGCCATGAGCAGCGTCCGAGCGGGACGCCGCAACAGGTTAGGCGCCCAAACAGGGGCGCCGTAGAGGGCCATGGACCGCACGACCCCGGCGTATAACCTCCGGCAGGAGGCGTTTGGCCCCCCGAGGTTGGGGAGGATGCGTTTAAACGCAGCCCCCGTCCTCTCCAACTTTGGAGCCAAACGTCGGAAGTGTTCTATGAAGTTCCACCGACTGTCGAGGACGAGTCCTAGGTACTTCATCGTCGTCTCGACGCCGATGGTAACTCCTCCCGCCGTTATTTGGGACCCACCCGGAGGTGGCGCGTTCCCGCGGCCATGAAAACACATGGCCTCGGACTTGTGGAGCGCCACCTCGAGTCCCAACTGCCGGATTCTCTCAACGACTGTCGCAACCGCTGTCGCCATTAAGTCGGCCGCCGCCTGGTGTGACCTCCCGTGCGCCAGCACCAGCGTATCGTCGGCGTAGCATATAGTGCTAACGCCGTTCGGGAGGTCGGTGCGCAGCACCCAGTCATAGCCGATGTTCCACAGGAGCGGCCCCAGAACCGAACCCTGTGGAACACCGCGTGACATCTCTCGCCGGTTCCACTCGCCCCGGTGACCGGGGTAGCTGACGGACCTGTCCGTCAGGTATAAATCGACACTAGCGCCACTTAAACGAAATTTCGAATCGCCATTCACTAAAGTCTAAACCTACCAAACTAATTAAACAATACGTATCAGCATATTGCAAGCACACACATACATAGATCCTACGTATATACATAACCACATTATGTACCTAGTCTACATTGGGTGCTTATCTACTACGCGCAGGGAAAGGTGCATCGGCAGCTCAGCACGGTTCATTACACTAATGAATGCACCGGTATCTACCTATACTTATGTACTTTCGAACTAAAGACCACTAGGAGCATATCATCCGATATTACACCGTTAAAACTTTGTAGTGATTTTCTTTAAACTTTGTGAACATTTTAGATTAAGTTTAAAGTTAAAATCGGACACGATATGAATTAAAGAGTTAGGAGAACTAAAGTTACCGATGTAGCCCAAAAGATTAGAAAGCTGACATGGCAATGGGCCGGTCACATTTGTCGAAGAATCGATGACCGTTGTGGTAGAAATGTTCTGGAGCGGAGACCGCGTCTAGGCAAATGTAGTGTAGGGCGCCCTCCAGCTAGGTAGAATGACGATATCCGCAAAGTGGCTGGTAGTGGTTGGATGCGTAGAGTGGTAGATCGAGCTCAATGGCTTGCCATTGGTAAGGCCTATGTCCAGTGGACGAGAACAGGCTGCTGATAATGAATAAGTGAATTTAGAGGTCATAATTAGGTTTTGATCATCAAATTATGATAAGTAACTATTAAATAATTCTTACAATCGGTTCACTATCGCGTCAGACATCGACAAAAACGATAGACGTCGAAGATAGAACCTTCTTATTTGAAGTCTGAGTTGTTCAAGCTTGAACTTCTTAGTGATAGAGAACTAGTATAATTTTGGCCACTTGCTATTTTACTTGTGAGAAAAGGATTGATCGTTTATTTACATTTTTAGGTTTCGGAATTGACAGACCGATTTGTAAATTAATTTCTCTAAACATTTAATTAATTTCCTCAAAATCTTCTTGCAGAGATTGTATAACTTTTTATCCTGATATTCCCACATTATCTGAACCATTTCGAGAGAAATCTTTTAAATTCCACACAGATTAAACGCTAGTAGGTATTTCATAAAATCACAGATTAATTTATAAAAAATATACTGAACTTTATAGAAATGCAATTATTTTTATCCACAATAACCTATCTGTAATCTAGCGAGCCAATCAGATGTGTAATTCCCTTGGGCGCCGACCTGCCGATAATGTGGTTCGCGTCGAAGATAGCTTTATTACGAAACCACAGATAATACATTAGCATTTATATTAGACCTTCTAGACTTTTCTAGAATAATCTAGAGATAGTCAGCTTGTTACCGGTTGCTAAAATCGTAAGAGAGGGTTTTTTTTAAGGGGGAGGTCTGTATTAGGACGTGGATGGACGTCTCCCCGCCAAATAGAAAGAAAGAAGAAGAAAACGGAATATTTCGGGATCGATTCTTCTCGTTTATAATTTTACTTTCGTAAACTAAGTTTATCAGGAAAATAAATATTTCAGACCGATAATTTACTTTTGAGGATTAATTAACAATCTGAGACTGTTCTTTTATAATTGTGTGTGAAATAAATAAAAAAAATTTAACCATGAAGGAACATGACAAATAAAACAGATAGAAGTATTATGGTAATAATTTATTTTATAAATTGTCGCCGTCATCGCTATCGCTATAGCTGTCACTTTCTGTAACATTCATTATAAAACACACACACTGATTGTTTATCGATTTTTGTGTTCATCACTACACTATTATATGTGGTATCATTATTTCACAAAATGACAGTAGCTAAATTTCAAATCTGGAATCGAATTAAAATTCTGACTATAGACTGGTGTCGACCAGTAAAGCAATCATTACGTAGTTTCTATTAATTAAGCTAAGGTAATGCTAATTTTGAGCTACATTCCGCCACACATGCTACTAAGTGACAAGTACTGAATTGAAGTATGCCTTCGTGCTTCAAATTAGAATGTGTAACAGGACCTTAATATAAGCTTTTTAATAGATAGTGTGATTTTTAAGGAAGGTTTATATGTATAAATACACGCCTATTGCACCCGTGCGAAGCCGGGGGCGGTAGCTAGTAAATAAATAAAATAAAAACATAGCTCCTAGTTCTTAACTAAGCACAAAACAATTATAATTCAGAACCTAAATTACAAATGACCCATACCTATACAAGCCATTGTGAATGAGACATTAAGGCAAACGATTTAAGACTCAATTTTGTTTCAGGACGTGTTCTCCGGCAAGTTCATTCGAAACGTGACGTATGACGATAAGATTGAACTCACCGTTCCGGGATTTGGTAAGTAATAGAAAATTATTTACATAGACATACACTGTTAAAAAATATTCTACTTTATTGGTATTGAAATAAAATCGAAAGTCTGTTGATGAACTGATACATACTCTAGCAATTCAAGCTACTCCGGAGTGATTTTCAACCTTATGCTTATTTAAATAAAGTTGGTTTAGAGCAGGTTGATGTGTAGATATTTAGCAAGTAAAAAGTCTAATTAGATCATAAGAATGGTCAGAACCGTGGTAACAATGATAGTAAATTGAGCTGCAAAACAAAGTTTTATGTTTGATTCCTGGGCTTTATCACAGTTACAAGTAGACTCAAAAAATTAAAATTTAATTTCAATAATCCAACAATAATATATATCTTGGTGTAAATAAACTAACTCTAGTAAGGTATAGGATACTAGAGTCTCAGCCAATCCTTTCAAGCGATATATGCCGTGATAATATAAAGAAACGTTTTTCTCATTTCAGATGTGATTTTATACACCCTGTACCCGCTTTAATATCGCTAACACTGATGGGACAGTACCATCTACACAAATATCAACTTTGCATCTAAAGAAATAAAGTGCAATTTTAAAGGACAATAACTAAGTGAGTGATTTTGATATTGGATAAAGGACTTTATGTGGTTGGACTTTAAGGCTGTTTTAAAACGAATGTGAGTGTATGTGGACTGTGTGTCTGCCGTTATTATGTACTTAATTTTCATATAGTTGCCGTCCAAATGTGAAAAACATTAGTTTTATTTTTTTTGTTATAAATACCTGAATGTTATACTACCTAAACTAAATTCTGAAAAAGTTGGCTGAGTGGGAGCAAGTGCGACTGCCGGGCAAGGGGTCCTGGGCAACGTATTACCGGGTTTATTTAAAAAAATCTCAGTAGTACCACGGAGTCTGGAATTGTGCCCGGTATATGGCAATTGGCTCACCCCCTATTACATGGGACTCATATCATAAATATTAAAAAGTGGGTGTTACATTGAACAGTGGCATTAAGTGCCGTAGTGTGCACCTCTGCTTACCCCTTCGGGGATAAAAGGCGTGATAATATCTATGTAATTCAAAAAATAAGTCAGATAAAGCAAAATCTAAGTTTAAAGATTAAATTGAGATAATGATTATTAGTTTTGACTATGAAATTATCTCTATACTACGAGTAACTCTATACAACTAGTGCAATATTTATAACTGTAAAACTCAAATTCCTCTAAACCAAAGATTAGCCGAAGAAGCTCCAATATTAAACCTAATGCTCTAAGTAGTACGGTTGATAATGATTTGACGTTAGTGTCACAAAGTAAAGAGGCTACGTCAATATGAGAGCTATTCCAAACAGGTTCGAGGTTTTACTCAAGAGGTCAGACTTACTTGACGTATGTTTTTTTTTTCTATTTTTAGACTCTGTCGTATAAAGTTGAAGCTAGATTCTATCTTAGTCTTCACCAAGTTTTCACCAACCACCCCCTAAATGTCACCTATCTTAGCCTAAGAGTTCCTTAAAATTTAGGAGATATTGGTTAACATGGTGGTTCGGAGGTTAAGACGCCCGCTACTCGTGCATAAGGGTGCGGGTTCAAAACCTACCAATGGCAAGTACCAATGTGACTTTATCCGAGTTATATGTACTTTCTAAGATTATTTAGACACCACTGACAAACGGTGAAGGAAAATATCGTGAGGAAACCTGGGCTTATAATTTCTAAATGTTGCAATGAGCAAAGTCAAAGTCAAAGTTAAAGCATTTATTTCAATTAAATCATAGTTTGGTACTTTTGAAACGTCAAAAAATACAAAATAAATAATAGTCTGTCAGTCAGTTCGTCAGTGAAACTAAGTGAAGCTAGGTGAGCAAGCGTGGTGATTAATTCTCAGACCTTCTCCGTGTGAGAAGAGGATTTGCTCAGCAGTGGGCATTAGAGGCTGATAATAATGATGTGTATATGATTAATATAATGGGGGCCACTGTATTCTTGCTCGCCACATGGCGCAAGTGTAAGAAGAGGTTTTTATCCAATCACAGTAGATGTCAAAGATTTAACGTCCAATAGCGTGGCACTAGCTAATTCCCAAGAACTAGGTGTGCGCCCTAGCGCCTTCAAGAAAAGCGTAATCCTTTTTAAAAGGCCGGCAACGTATCTGTAACTCCTCTGGTGTTGCGGGTGTCCATGGGCGGCGCTGATCGCTTGCCATCAGGTGATCCGTCTGCTCGTTTGCATTTAATAAAGAATACAGCAGGCCCCATTATATAGCTGTGTATAGTTGGTGTGCAATAAGGTACCTTTAAATTACCCCTTGTGGGGTATAAAACATAATAAACGATTGTTCAGTGGCCAGCACATTAACCTACTCCAATGTGTCAATTTTTGTCATTGAATTTTCGACTTTATAACTTAACGATAAAGTTGAAAATCTAATGAAAAAAATTGACAGAAAAGAGTACATTGATCTGCTGCCTACTTTACTTACATACCTCCAAGTGTTAAACACTATTAATTTATTGTGCATTTATTTTAATTAGCGAATTGTATTAGTCGCAAAGATTAACGCCCGAATACTGAAAGGCTAATCAATAAGTTGTACTTAAATATCGTGCCGTCTCTGTCATTTTACAACTAATTTTAGTGACAGAACTATACTTATGCGCGATCTAAAATTGAGTGACGTTTGAGTATTTGGACATAAGAATGTCTGTTTTAATTTAAGTAGGTTTTAATTGATGAGTCTTTAAGTACTCCAAAGAAATAATAAATCGATACCATAATAATAGGGTAGTTGCCTAATTTTTATTTTAATGTCCGTCTGGTAGATAGTTTTAAATCATTACTCATGTATTTTTTATTTTCTTACAGAAACGAATACTTTCGACGATATATTGATTTGAAATGTCGTGTGACGTCACTTCTATGAACATTTTATACGTAGAAATGACGTTTTAGCCCCCACTCCTAAGCTTTGATTCGTTTTATCTAAGTAATGTGTTATTATACGACAAAATAAAAAATACGTGTCTAATATTTTTAAATAACCTAACTTACGGACTAATTAGATTTTTAATTTTTATACCCTGTCATCATCCTAATTATGTACGTATGCATGTCGTGGCGACGCCCGCTCCTTATGCACTAGAGCGCTGGTACCTACCAACGGCAAGCAACAATGTGGCTGTTTCCAAGTTATATGTACTTTCTAAGATCATTTAGACATCACTGACAAACAGTTAAGGAAAACATCGTGACTTATAATTTCTAATTATAAGTTTAAAATCGCGAACCCGCATTGAGCAAGCGTGGTGATTAATACTCAAACCTTCTTCGTCTGAGAAGAGGCCTTTGGTCAGCAGTGACCGCTTACAGGGTGTTGATATTGATGTTATGTTTGCAAATGATTAAATGAAAGATTAGTTCAATAGGGTAGTTTCTTAAATTTTATTTTAATGTCAGTCTGGTAGATTATTTTAAAACATTAGACACGTATTTTTTCTTTTCTCACAAAATTAAATGTTATGACGTAACTACCTCCCACTCCTAAACTTAACGCCATTTTATTTAAGTATTGTAACTTTATACGAGAAAATAAAAATACGTGTCTAATATTTTTTCATTATCTAACTGACGGACTAATTAGATTTTGAATTTTCTTACCCTGGAAACTACCCTATAATACAGAATATGCTCTTGAAAAAAAATGTTTGTTCATCAATAAGCTTGGTTTTTGGGTAGTAACATAGGATACTTTTAATCCGGTTATTCTATGGGTAAGCGGTGGATCCTACATAATAATAATTCTTTAACCGATTTCAAAAAAGAAGGATGCTCTCAGTTTGTCCTGTATGTATGTGTGTGCGCGATTAGTTGAACCGATTTTGATGTAGTGTTCAGAAAAGTGTTTGTTACACTTAAGAGAAGGTTTCAGTATATTCATAAAACGAAAAAGAAGTTGAGGGCAGTTTTTTTAATATTTTTTGAAGTTAGTTACTGAATATACTAAAACTAAAAACCTCTTTATTTTTCGAAGTTGGTTAAGAGATGTTTCTATTCAGAAGGTATATACTGTCAATTTCGTCGATATACTCAACCTAATTTGGCTATTTTAATTTCAATCGTTATTACGTTTGTTTTAAAGTCGAAAGTCTATTGAAGGTAGATATATGTATGTACACAAAGCACCGTTAATTAGTTAGCGGCGCTACACATCGACACAACTATCATTTACACAATATACATGTGTGGGTAATTTCATATCAATAGATATGTATAGAAACAATCGTCTATCACACACATCTTGGTATTTAAAAATCATTTTTGTGTCGGTATACGCAATAATTTAGTAAATAATTTTAAATAAAAACGAGGGTAAAGATAAAATTACTCATAACAAACTTTGAATAAATCGAAATCAAAAATAATGAACGATCGAGCTATACAATACCCATATAAATATAGTGCTTTCTCATTGTAATTTTATGTTACTGAATGATATAAAATATTTCGATGATCTCATCTACAGCGCGCTTGGCGCAATGGTTATCGCCTCCAATTGTCAAGTAAAGTGCCGCCGGATCGATTCCAACATTCACATGTTGTTTTAGAATTAATTTATCAAATATTTGAAATTTGAAATTAGAAACAATTAAATCTTTTCTTTTTTTTCCTTTCCTATTGTTCTAAATCTTATGTTAATTTTAATAGTAAATACTTTAGATTTATTTATACCTATAATATCTTTTATTTATATTTTAGTTCTAGTTATTTATTATTTAGAATAATCTCATTTGCTTCATGCATTTCAACCAACTTAAATAAGATAAAAACAGTAAAAAAGTAATTAACTGTGATTTCTTAATGGTTCGATACCTGAGTATATTTGCAATGTTTGTGGCGACCATAGAAATCTCGAGTCATTTTATTTTACACGCTTATGAAGTAACTACCGACTATTTAAAACATGTTTTTCAAATCACCCGACTTACAAAATAATTGCGTTCTTAGTTGTCAATTTATGAGGATTTCATAGTTTATTGCTACACTACTTATATTCGTGTGCAAAGTTATTTTTATTTTTACAAGATGTTCCAACACCTATCAACATTTAAAAAGGCTGAAACCATTGTTTTGCATGAGCAAAACATAACTAACAATAACTGAAATAGCAAGGCGTTTAATGATATCGGTGAGTAAATAAGATACTACGTTGTTATTCTAAATAATATTTATTTCATTTTGTAACTCGACACACCTATCAATTTTTGCACTAGAATAAAATAATTATTGCAACTTATTATGAAGTTCAATATTATAAAGATATATTAATAATTTATTATTAATTGTATTGTAACTTGACTTGTTTTTGTTAGGAGTGTTTCTTTAAAACATATCTGGTTAGGGATTTTTATTCCTTACGCCACTACTTAATTATAAATTATTATTCTAACATTGTGTTTACTTATATTTATTATTATTTTTAAGTAACTTTAATTCCTGTAAAGTATTTCCTGGTAT